AGTATGCCCAACAGGGTACTAATTTTATCTTCCAAAAGCTGCCCTTCCTATTTTGCTAATGGAAGCCTCCAGGCAGGTGGTCACCCAAATCAGATCATCCTGGAATCACAGGTCATCCCTTTCCTCACCTCCTGCAACGAATCTTCTTGTTTCTATCTCTTTAAAATCTCTTGAAACTGTTTTGTTTCTGACATTCATTGTTGTTGCCTGGGGCCAGGCCCTCCTCCTCCCATTCTGTCTGGGCTGCTGGCATTGCCTGTTCTTTAGTTTCCTTACTGCCAATCTTACCTTTGTCTAGCCATCCCATGGTCCAAGTTTAAGTGCACCTGGTTCAGAAATGTGATCTTCCCAAAACAAAGACATAATCACTTTACCACCTGGTTAGAGCTCTTCTATTTGTACTGGAGAAAGTATTCCTAAGAGAGCTTAAGTGTCTTCCTATTCTCCAGCATTACTTTTCAGCTCTACCACCATCCTCCTTCAACCTGTGCCCTCCAGGTAGGCTGCCATGCTTCTCACATTTTCCCTAAATGCCAGGCAAAGTAGTCTTCTGCCATCCCCTCCCTCCCTGCACTGGCCTATCTGGAGAGCACTATTTGAACTCCCCAAAATCGGGTGTGTCATGACCTCTTTATGACCTTTCCCAACTCCTCAAGTTTTCCATGCAAAGTTGAATCATCCATGCCCTCTGCATGCCCCCACTGACTCTTCAAAGGCTGCATCATGGCATCTATAATCTGTTATTGCTCTTTTCTCTCATGATTGTCTCTATTAGATTGCCAGTTCCAAGAAGACAGGACCAAGACTTATTCATGTCTATATGTTGTGTCTAGTACACTGTAGGTGCTCAATAATTGCTTGTGGAAGAGATGAATGACCATGAGCTATTGCCTTATTGGTATTAATGACACTGTTGATCACCAAGGCAGACCATGCGGGATCCTCTCAGTGCCTTATGACCAATACAGTAGCTGTAATGCTGAGTAATCCAGTCACTGGATCCTGATGGTGGAGTGTAGGCTTTTTCCTGGGGGAGAAACTCCTGGTACCTCTGAGCAACCTCATGATGAAGGGACACAGGAGAGGAGACAAGAAATGGGCTATGATGTGGGTCAAGCCCTAAGATTAAGGAACCATAGAAAAACAGACACTGAGAAAAGCAAGGAGGAGGGGAGGCTAGGGAAAGATTGATCAATAGGCACTGAGTTTTAGTTAGACAAAAAGTTCTCAGTTTGCACAGCAGAATAACTATAAAAAGTGATAATGTACTGTATATTTCAAAAAAGCTAGAGGAAAGGATTTTGAATGTTTTTACTACAAAGAAGTGATGAGACCAGATATGCTTACCCTCATTTGAGCATAACACAACATCTACATATGTGGAAACCTCACATGGTACTCACCCAAAATATATATAATTCTCATATGTCAGTAAGAAAGGGAGACTTTGCTGAGGCCTCAAGGAGAGTGAGGAGGGCTAGAAGGAAACATCCTCTGCCCAAGCTGTGGGAACACAGCAAAAGAGCACATTTACTAAGCAAGCAGTCTTTCTCTGTACAGCTCAGATAGATGGATCACTTGGAGAAACTCTAATTTAAGGAGATAACCCAAAATCCCAAAGGGAGTATGAGCAACATAACTAACCCTCCTCCCCTGCCCCAGCAAATCTCATTTCTCACATTCAGCTGGGTCCTGAAGACGGTCCCCAGAGATGTTGTTGTGGTTTTGAAAGAAGTACAAAACTGGTGGGCTGTGGCTTTAACAAGGAAGTACATGCAAGCTTGGGCGAGTTGCTTACCTTCTGTGGGCCTCAGGCACCTCACCTATAAATTGGGCACATTCTGACATGTCTGAACCACTTCAGAGAACTGTGGCAAAGACCAAACAACAACAACAATAACCATTCTTTTTCTATTGATTCCTATGTATCAGAAACTATGCTAAGGGTCTTATATATAGTATCTTAACTCTCATACCATTTCTATAGACATAGAACTATTATAAACTCAATTTTACAGATGAGTGAATTGAGATTTAGGGAGGTAAATATCTTGCCTGAAGCCAAGGGCTACCAAGTAAACGGACAGAGTAGGCATTTGGTGTGTGGACCCAGCATTCTGGTTCCCTTGTCTGTATCTCTGCATAGGTGGCTGACGTTACAGTCTAGGAGTCTGTATCCCCCCAACCCCAACTTTGGTCTTAAAGCCACAGTGGCAGCACTTAGCAGAACATAAAGAAAAACAGCTCCCTCACAGTTGGCCTCAAAGATGTGCTCCAAAGAGGTAAGCTTCTCCTTCCCAACTGCAAAGGTTGGTGACTGTCCTGGGTGGAATGCTGTTTCCCCAAAAATTCACGTCCACTGGAAACCTGTGGACTTCCCATCCCTTGACCATCCTCTTCACCCCTAATTGGGTCCTAATTAAGTGATCAGTGTCCTTATAAGAAGAGGAAAGTTGGACACAGATATATAGATATATACTTGGCCCATAATCGCAGCACTCAGGAGGCTGAGGCAGAAAGATCACGGCGAGTTTGAGGGCAGCCTAGGCTATACAGTGAGACGCTGTCTCAAAAGAAAAGACAGAGACAGAGAGAGATACATACTGCAAGCATGTACTAATAAAAAGTTGAATGGAAAAACAAAACCAAAAAAAGCAAAATACAAATGACAGATTCAGATACAGAGGGAGTCAGCACATGAAAACAGAAGCAGAGATAAGAATGATGCCGCTATAGTCACAGAACACTGAGGATCTGGGGAGCCACCGATGCTAGGAGAGTTATGGAAGGCTTCTTCTCTAGAGACTTCAGAGAGAAATATCCCTGCCAAGACCATGGTTTCAGATTTCTAATTTCAGAATAGTGAGAGAATAAATTTTCCTCAACTTATGAACATTCAAGGTGCGATCTTTCACAGGCGTACTGTATAAGATTTGCAGGTGTACTGTATAGGATTTAGTTGGTACTGTATAGGATTCAGACAACTCTGACTTATAAACATTCTCCTGAAACAGACTCATTTGTAAGTCTGGGACTTACTGTATCTAAAACCAACCAATTCATGGTACTTTGGTAAGGTACCCCCAGGAGATTAATATATGGAGTACCCTGCTGCAGGGTCTCCAACAACTAGGGGACCAAGGGTGAATAATGCATATTCTGGGAGACTGGTTAGATAGATTTGGGTGGTGAGAGGCAGCAGAACAGAAATAAGGTGTTTACTCAACCAGTTACAGCAACTGACTTGTAGATTGTGCTTGGGCATGACTTTACAGGCATGTGTATGTGTTGTGTCTAGGAAGGGTGTCTGCTTGCTTTGTTCTGGATATGAGGATGGAAGCTCTCTGGGTGGGTGACAACTAAGCAGGTTGGTGAGGATTCCACCTGAGAAACTTTTCCTCCCAGCCCTTGGATTTCCTCCCTATCCCAAGATCTCAGGCGATGAAAACTATTCCTTAGGGAGGTTAAAACATGACTCAAGTTTTCACAGCCAGCTAGTAAGAGAAGCAGAATTTAGATCTAGAATTCTCTGGCTCCAAAGACCTTGTCCTTTTAATAATTTCAAACTAAAGGGCCTGGGGATTTAACTCAGTGGTTCTTACTGACTGCCTTGCAAGCACAAGGTCCTGAGTTAGATCCCTGGTACCAAAAAAAAAAAAAAAGAAAGAGAGTTCAAACTAAAGAAAGTGAACTCTTGACCAGCGAATTAGCCTAGTGGCAACAACAACAACAACAAAAAGGTAAAGTGGATTACCTTATATCTTTCTGAAGAGTTCACTTTTTAAAAAAAAATTTTTGGGTACCCGTATCAAACTCAGGACCTTGTACTTGCCAAGCAGGCGTGGCACCACTGAGCTACATCCCCCACCCTTGCTCTACCCTTTTTTTTTTTGGTAGGGGGAATCGAACTCGGGTCCTTGAATTTGCTTGCAAGGCAGGTGGCTGAACCACTCAGCTAAAACCCTGGCCCTCCTGCTTTACCTTTTAAAAGCGTTTTCCCTAAGTTTGAAAGTAATGTTTATTTGGAGAACATCTGTAAATTATTGGGCTGGGAAGGCTGGGGATTTAGCTCAGTGGTTCTGCCACCTGCCTCGCAAGCACAAGATCCCGAGTTCGAGCCCCAGTACCAAAAAAAAAAAAAAAAAAAATGGGTCGGGGGATGTAGCTCAGTGGAGCCGAGCCTGTTTGGCAAGTGCAAAGTCCTGAGTTTGATCCCTGGTAACGGGGGTGGGGGTGGGGGGAGAAAATATAAATTATTGAAATGTTTAAAGAAAAAGTAAAAATTATTCCTGGCAATAATTACTAATATTGAGCAATCGCTAGTCTTTTTCTATGCAAATATATATTATCAAAAGAGTTGAATAAAACTGTAGTTTTGGGTTTTCATTTAACATTATCTTATGTCATCTGCTTTTGTAAATTTTGTGTGTGTGAGTGTGTGTGTGTGGAGTGCGAATTAAACCTTGGAGTTCTGCGGAATGCTGGGGTGGCACTGAATCTCTACCACGGTGCTACAACCCCAGCACTTTTTAAATTTTGAGGCAGGGTCTTGCTAAATTGCCCAGGACAGCCTTGAACTTGTGATCCTCCTACCCCAGTCTCTTGAGTCACTGGGATTACAGATAAACATGATTTTAAATTACTGAATAATGTTCCAGCATGCAGATGGGCCATAATTTATCTAAGCCTTTTATTGCTTCCTTCTTAGTTTCCAGCATTTAACAATAATAAAGTAAGTTAACGTTTTGCGTAAATATTTATCCTCATTATTTCCTGAAGACAGATAGGGGATAACACTGGTGAATGGGACGAATGTTTTAAGATATCTGATATATAATGCCACATTGTTTACCAACAGGGTTGTACCTGCCAGCAGAATGAGGACACCCGGGTCAGCAGCCTCAGTATGCCCGAGGGTCAGCGCGAACAATCCTCGCTCTATTTAGTAAAGCACTGCACGACTGGATCACACAGGTTGCTATGTGTTCAGAGCACTGCAGAGGGAAGAACCCACAGGGAAACCAGTTAGGAAAGCCGTGGCGACAGTCCCAGTGGGATCTGAGCGGGCTGGAGCGCAGCAGCAGAGATGGAGGAACCGGAACACTCACCGGAGAGGCAAGCCTCGGACGGGGGCGGGGCCGGGGCTCGAGCTGATAAAGTAATTCAGCCCCTGACGCCGGCGGGCGAGGGAGGAGGCGGTGCGTCGGCTCGGGCCTCCCCCGCAGCTA